AAGAGCCCACAATCAGTCAATTAGGTCATATTCGTGACCTTCATCAACTCAAGATATTCCTTAGTGTGAAAATGTAGATTAAAGATAAATCTAAAGGAGATTGTATGGGGATTTTTCTGTTTCGAATCATTTAAAGGGCGGAAAATAAGGGCTTGGACAAGCTCGGTCCTTGAAAATTATAGCCAAAATTTAAGATCATCCTTATTTGCAGTAGACAGAGTATTTTTTTTTATTCTTGTTGCTAGGTGTAGCTTTTAACTCAGCCCCCACCGTTTATTTTCTTTTCTTTTTTCTTTTGTGAGGCAGATTTCAGGACCATCCTCCATCAGGTTTTTGCTATTAATGTCTCACACAGCAAGTGACAGGACCATTTTGCAAAGCAATTTTGATAAAAGCATAAATCAATGGTCAAGACATATTCAGCATATGGCAACTCTTTCAATCTGGATTCTTGCAGCTAGACATGTCCGTGTAGCTTCTTTATTAGCAACCCCCCCAAAAGAAAAACGGAAAATTAAGGAGGCCTCAACAGTCGTACATTCAATCACCCAAAAAAATTAATACTCACAACAAGCCATATTGTCTATATAACTAATGGTAGTGTATTACAAACCCAATTTTTTTTGCCTTCTGTTTTCCCTTATGCAATGATAGGGAACAATTATTCAAAAAATAAAAGAAGGAATCAAAACTTACATCAAATGTACAAAATATCCACACGGAAAAAAATTAAACCAAAAATATAGTGCCAGAAAACCATAAGATACCAAGATGGTGTTCTTCATATGACTTCCATGAATTGCTTGACTTGCAATGGAGATCCTTCCCTAAAACTCAAGACTCCATTAAAAAAGAACTTAACTTTGATCAACCAAGATCAATTTAAGCGGCCAAAACTTTGTACATTATCCTCCATTGCAGAATACTGCTCTGCAGTCTGCACTGAAGAATGAAGATCAATCAAAATTCCATACCCCTTTTTCATCAAATTGAAGGGCATATAAACAAGAATCTTTCTTCTATACATTCAGCAGCAAAAGAATCAAACCCTTGAACCTCCTTATCATGGAGATGCTGAATCAAAGCTGTCAGCCCTAGCATAACGTAGCTCCAGGGAAATCTGTCTTTCTATCTTAAGCTGCCGGTAAAAGTTGGCAATAAACATCTCAGCTCTCTTGTCAATATCGTCTTCATCAGATGGACAGCTTATAGTTCTCTGAAGGGATCTTTCTCTAGCCGAGCCTGAATCAATAGAATCTGAATCATGATCAATACACGCCCTCAAGCCAGGCCGATCATTGAAGCTCAACCGCCTTTTGACCGGTGAAGCACCGATGATTGAAGCAAGTTTCCATCTGTTAACATTGAAATTCAACAAGAATCTGATCTTCTTCACTGCCCCCCTTAGGCGGCCTAACAGGGACCACTTTTCTTTGGTCATGCTTAATAATTGAAAGAATAAAAATGGATGTGATGCAACTATTGAAGCAGATAGATATAGAAGATTAAACTATCCAGCTAGTGGGGTCTTGAAGCTTGATGAAGTTCTTCAACTTGTTGTGCCGGCTGATATTTGTAGAATGAGTGGGGTCTTAGATTGAAGTACCAAGCATGTCTATATATATATATACACATACATAGAGAAGAGGGAAGCAATTTGTGAGAGTGAATTGTAGTACGAAGGAAGACAAGAAATTGCTGGGTAGGCTGACATGAAGAAGCGTGGGGAAAAGGAATACCGCGTTAGCTCCATGACAACTATTGTGTCTATTGGCGAGTGAGAATAACGGCTCTGGTCATAGGTTGATCAATTCTTCATTACTACTTGATCAAAATTCATGGCTTAGTGTTGCCGCAGTAAAAATTGTCTGCGTGACATTACATTGAGATAATTTTTATCCATTCCTTCAAATTCATGGAATCTATTGAAGTGAACAATCTTACTTCTTGTAGTTTAGGATTGGTAATCATCACATATTGAACATAGGCGTTGTTATTATTGGCTGCATTTTTTTTTTATTAATTTTGGTAGTTTCTTCGAAATATAATAATGTGAGATGAGTTGTAAAGGGAGATGAAAAAATATATATATATATACATATACATTAAAAGAAATGATGAGTTGTATAGGGCTTAGTCAAGTCAAATTTTCAGAATTTTCATTGATTTTGTTCTCTAAAAGTGTAAAAATGTTTAGAAGGCATGAACCTGGTAGGAAGCCGGTTTTAACAATTAGATTATCTGTCCTTAAATATTATTTCGGTATTAATTCCACAGTTCCAGCAGTTATGGCTGAAAATCAATTCGTCATCACACGCTAACTGGTGGAAGCTTGACATGCGCGAATTATATTTCTATAACTTAATAATTTCCACATCTGCCAATTTTTATTTCTTTTACTCTTTTCTCCTTTTTCTTAGAAAAATTTTATGTTAGTGACTCTGGTGATCCAAGGGGGGGGGGGGGGAGCAAAACATCCCACATCCATAAATAATTTGCATAGAATTTAATTCTTCCACTTCCTTAATTTGTCGGTAAAAGTGCCTCGTTCAAAAAAGAAAAGATTCTGTCAAGGGAAGGGACCATCTCGGTTTACTTTTCCATTGGAAAAAGAAGAAAAAAGAAACTTTCTTGTGATTTGCTAAAGCAACAGTATACACAAAAGTATATATATATATATTCTCATTGGAACTCATCAACTTAATCTAGCACAACCAACTTAAAATTAAAACAGAACTAAATACGCACTCATTAGAGTGTTTATTAGGACTAGTTTCTGGGGTCATGAAAAGCATTTTGTGTTGATCAAACCCCCAAATCCCATCCACAGAAGAGAACCCGTCAAGATTAGCAAAAATAGACGGCGGGCTACGTGCTTGAATCCAGTTACTTAATCGCAGCGATTTGCTATTACAACAAGTCAAAAGACTTGGCTTCCAAGTTTTAGCTTTTGCGCTATGGAATTCGGGGCTGACGATGAAAGCTACGAATTACTACTATTTCAGATTTGAGGAGACAAACTGAGGCTTTGTTTGGAAGCCAAGTTTTTTGCCAAGTTTGTCTGTTACAAGTTTCTTAAAAACTTTACCTACAGTAATTTCAAAAAACTTTTCAAAGTTTTTAAACTATACATTTCAAAATATTCAAAAAAAAAAAAATACACACACACACTTCAAGAATTTTTTTAAAAACTTCTACAGTAAGGTACAGTAAAGTTTTAGACAAACATCCAAAAAACTTACATTCCAAACGGGTCCATGAGGCTTGTACGGCTTATTAAATAAGGACGTAACTAAAATTCTTGGATGGTCCGACTTATATACCTTGGTATGTTTAACCTTATAAATCCTCATAAAACCTTATAAGTACTGGAGATCAATTGAATGGGTCGGTTCTCCCTATCCCACTTATGATGTTTAGGGATTGGTCACGTGGTTTATGATATCACTGAACTCAAATGTATTGAGATAGTTACTTGGGCTCTAAAATGTGTTAGACATATTAATGTATTATTTGGTTTATCAATCCCATTATCCGAGAAGGAATTTGGAACTTGGAAGTGCTAATATATTAGTACGTACTACTCCATTTCTATAGACAAGAACAACCCTTGTACATTGTACGCACGCAAGTACAAGCAAAAGGCTTTTGCATGCAAATCGAATAGTTGATGATCAAAGTGCTAAAATAATCGAATAGATTATTAATGTCATACATCTTGGATATCTGTTTATAGGATGTAAACCGCATAATTAATTACTTAAGATCTCGATTAAATTACCAATTGTTTTGGTTTGATTGCCAAGTACGTTCCCTGAATCGAAAATTAATTTTTGAAGTCAACTGGAGGATATGAAATTGACATGAGCACCCGAAGTTCAGTAGGATTGTGGGTTTTTAGCAGACAAAAGAAAATTTACTAAAAACCCGAAAACAACAGCCATGGCGGCGTTGTGCTCTTTAGAAGAAAGTTCAAAGCTGGTATTTTTGGGCCCATTAGAGAGCGTCCATTTAACGCTCCAATTTCAGAAAAAAAGTTTTTGTTGATAAGAATGAACCAAACCAAACCTAGAAATTTGCATGAAACCAATTGGAGGAGTTTCGTTCGGTTTAGTTTCCAGTAGTTTTCTTATATATAAATTTGGTTTAAAACTCCAAGAATTTCTGAGTTCTTCTGCTTCAAAGGCCTCCTCCTAAATCTTTTCAGTCAGGATACTTTAGGTTGCCTTGTTCATCCGGGTTTAGGCACCGGCGTCTCGCGTCTTCGTCAAAGTCCCTATCAATTTTCGATACTTAGCAAATAGAAACTCGTTCCGTGCTTCTCTATATCCGGTTTTGAATTTTTAAATCGCAACTGCCAATCAGCAACATATGTATCAATCAAAAAGAAAAAGAAGAAAAAATTGGGTTCATAATCAAGTCTAGTTGTCATTAAGGGTCCGTTTGGTTGGACTGAAAATATTTTCCATCGAAGTCATTTTCCTGGAAAATCACTTCCTTCCCCATAATTTTCCAGTGTTTGGTTATTAAGTGAAAATATTTTCCAAATTCCTTTTTTCATAATTTTCCGGTGTTTGGTTTGTCAATGAAAATATTTTCTGATATGTTTGTTAATATATTGCAAATATTTTTCTACTCTCAAAACATTCATTTCATTACAAGTTAATTTTAGTTCCTATCCATTATAATCATATTATCATTTTTATAAAATATTTATTCATATTACACCATGAATTCTTAAATGGAATTATTAATGATACTAATGAATTGGCTGGGAAAGAAGAGTTAAAAATCAGATGAAAACCTAGCTGAACACTATTCTTTATTGGTATAGTATCATGTCATTATGTTGTTCCTTTGAAAAGGGAGAAGAACCTAAATGCAGAGAATCCTATATTGGAATATAAGAATCCTATATTGGAATATAAAAAGTGATAAAAGGGAGAAGAATCTAAATGCAGAGAATCCTATATTGGAATATAAACCAAGATTTCTGCTCCAGAATCAAAAACCTTATTCATGGTACAGAATTAGAACCATTGGTACATAAAAGCACCCTAATCATATGCCAAGGCAATTTCCATTACAGCAGGTACAAACAAAACCGGCAATGGTCAACAGCTTATTTTCCGAATACAGGCTCTTGACCATCACCTATGGTTAACAATGGAATCGCCAAATTCAGTCAATTCCAATCCACCAAAGTACTGGAGCTACAACTCATACAAATATAAATGACACAAATCTAATAGTGCTTGGTACTACAATAGGTGATACAATAATGCTGCTGCTGCTGCTACTACAAGTAAATTATTTTGAGAAATCATTTTCAAGACAGTGGAGACCTATGAGGAGCACCCTTTCTCCTGTTACTCAAGGAGAGCTCAATGCCAGGGAGAAATCCACTGCCCGTTTTCTTCTTTTTCACCACTTCTGGTTCCATTGAAATCCCTGAATTGTCCATGGATGTATAAGGGCATGTTAAGCCTCTATATACTAAAGGGTCCTCCTCCCAGATGGAGTTTGCGGTAATTTGACCATCATCATCAAGGAGTTCAGGGCCATCCACGTGTAATCTCTCAAATTGAGACACAGAAAAATCAGACTCCTCAGACCTATATAGGATACTTGACAAATCCTCCCCATGATATACCATGTAATCAACCTGCAGCAAGTCAGTAGTTTTTTAACCCTCAGTTCTTCTATCAATAAAAATGGATGATGGTGGCCTGGTTTGTGCTACAACTATTCTACACCAGGAGACAGAGAATTATAATTCAGGAAAAGAGAGAGAAAAAGAATTATGATTCAGGAAAAAGGAACAAGATCAGAGGTAAAAATCAATGCTTGATTTAAATTGTGTACATAAATAAATAAATATATATATATTTAAAAGTACACAATTAGGCCATGCCCAGCTGCAATTTTCAAAGTCCAAAACAAATACCGTGCAACCTGACAAAAAACAGAAATTGCCAGTTGTCTTGTGTTGTGTGTGGCCTTCTGTGTGTCACAGGAGTGAGTGTGTGTGTATGTGTGTGTGTGTGTATGTGAGTAAGAAAATACTAGTAGCTCTCTTATATACAAGATAATAACAAGGGACGAAATCGAAGGTGGACCTTGCATGAAAGAGAACAGAAGTTAAATGGCTCCTGAAGAATTCTGTCACAGGTGAAACAAGCATTGCCAGACTTAGATTGTGCTCTAAATAAAACAGAGGGCATGTAGCAATCAAAAAGGTTTTGATTCAGTTTTTGTTTTCTTGTTAGAATCACTGCAAAAATATTGGCTATTCAGATAGCACAACTAAGATTGCACATAATTGTCGCCAAACAAGAATACCAACAAATAATTGAGTAAAAAACAGCGGAGCAAGTCTACAGCAAATGTGCCCAAAATCATGGTTCTGTTTGGGAGTGAAATTCGCTTGCTGATTATGCCTTCTCAGGAACTTTCTTACAACTGAAATTTTTTATAAAAAGTTTACTGCTCTCTGGGATGAACACAAGCAAACTGTTTTCCTCCCTAATCAGATTTTGTCAACTATTTACAAATGGTCTCGCCAGATTGTAAGAAAAACACTACCCTACCCTACCCTACCCGGATTCTGATTCCAAGAATCATAAAACCCCAAAACTCAGCAGCCAAATTAATTTATTAGCATCAATCAAATCAGATTTAACCCTAATCAAGTAAGAACAAACTAAAACAAAAGCAACCCACAAAAATTCATTCAAATCCAACTTCAAGAATCTACACCAGTAATTCTAGACAATTTTTCAAAGAAAAAGGGAGGAAAAAAAAAACTAATAAGAGACCATCATACCTCTGGAAATACTTAAGGAGTCGTCACCCTTGTTGGAAATGCTATTGTAGGAACGGGAATGAGATGTCGCTGCCAGAGTGGGGATGAGCCGTTGATATTGGCCGCTTTTAAAGGAAAAAAATGAGAGAGAGAGAGAGAGAGAGAGATGCCGGAGTGGCTTACCTCCGAAAGTGGATCTTTGCCGGAGTTGGAGATGCCGCCGGCGAAGAAGAGTGGGTCTTTCCCTTGGATTTGCTTCCTGGTGAGAATGTGAGATGTCGCTAGAGACGGTGCCGAAGAAGAGTGTTATAACTGCCGATTGGTCTTTTATTGATGGTTACTTGCTGGAGGCTGTGAAAAGAAGACTGCTATTACGAAAGGAAAATAACTTCACAAAGATAGATAGGGAAGTTATTTTCCTCCCGTCAGTGTAACTTGTTTTCTGTTTGAAATTATTTTTTCAAATTAATTGACAATCAAACAACGGGAAACATGGAAAATATTTTCCGGAAAACCTTTTTCATCCAAACAAACAGACCTAAAAGCAAAACAAAGATGCGCACATGGTAGCTTAATACATATATGCCTGGTTTTTAAATGCATGCCTTCCTGGGTCCACGAAGTATTAATACTCGAATTGTGAACACCGATGTGTATTGGTACACCATACATCTTGGATCAATCGGAAGAAAAGTAGTGAGTGTTTTTTCTCAAGTCAATGGCTTTAAGCGTGCAGAAATTGACGTAACCCTAAGTATGCCATGTTCAAGGTTCCTCTATTGGGTTCATGCTAAAATACCTAATCATAAATTGTTGACCAAATCATCACGGGATAGAGTGGAGTTGACGTTAGGCTCAATTCCACTCTCCCTTTTTCTGCCTTTCTGCATAGAATAGAATTGAATAACCATTCTAATTGACCAGCTCGATGTTTCATTTCATATATAGGAAGGAAGGCTGTACGTTGTTCTCGAAAAGACCATAAAGCCCTCAAAGCAAGAAAGCATGCTTTGTCAAGAATAAGCGAGATGTCGGTCATGTTAAAGATTTTGAGTAATTCTGTGAAGCCATGCATAAATGATGTATCAAAATCGTTATCCGTTCCAAATTTTGAGTAGTCGGTGTTTCACTATTACGTATATCAATTGCATTTAAAAAAAAAAAAAAGACGCATAATGTGAACTATTAAAACATAAAAGGCATGTTGAGCAGAAGAATCAATAATGTAATTCGAGATGAATGTAATAAGAATCCATCAATCCAACTAATTGCTCTTGTGGGAGTTTATGGATCTTCATCTAGTTAAAAGTACTGTGTCCTTTACCATTATGTTGCGAAGCCACCGTCATACTTAATTTCAAGATGAGTGAATAGAGTTAAAAAGGTCAGTTCTTCAGGCCATCTGACTTTTAAAATCACAAAGCCCGCCATCAATTAATTAGTTAGGTGTTCATGGTTTGGGCAAAATGGTATTTTTACTCTCTTAATTCTCCTTTTAATACACCTTCCTTCAAGGATGGAAAGTCTAAATTGTGAACTGAAATGCACGACATTGCCAACCCAAAGCTTTACATTGACGAAACCTCTCGCAAATCACTGTCTTCAAAGCCATTTTCCAATGCCCATTTCTGCATCCTCAGCTCTCCACCATCTCCTTTCTATGTCCACCATTCATGCCGATACGATGAAGCCAAGCAGATCATCAAATGGCCAGCGTTTCATCGTAACTTCCTTCTTCTTCATAGTTTTTCTTTGTATTCTAGCATCAATAAACGAAGTTAGATTCGATAGTTTTTTAAGATTTGGTAGATGTGCATTTTCACGCGCACCCCATTATTCATCCGAAGAAAATTTTCTTGCAGCTAATTCATCCTCCACGTCCAATTCATCATCCACCGATGACGTTAGAATACTGATAGGAATCCCAACACTTCCTGATCACTACCACAAAAGACACTTCCTACGGCTAGTCTACGGCATACAATCACCTCAGAATGCAAAAGTTGACGTGAAATTTGTATTCAGCAACCTCACAAAGGAAGATCAAAAGGTTCTCGTGGCACTCGAAATTATGCGTTACAACGATATAATCATCCTCAACTGCAGGGAGAATATGAACCAGGGTAAGACCTATACCTATTTTTCAAGCTTACCAGAGATGCTGAACAATACAGATGGACCATTTCCACCATACCATTATGTGATGAAAGCTGATGATGATTCGTATTTTAGGTTAGAAAATTTGGTTGAGTCTTTGAGGCCATTGCCTAGGGAAGACCTGTACTATGGTTATGTTATTCCATGCCCAAGTATGGACCCTTTTGTCCATTACATGTCTGGAATGGGGTATTTAGTTTCTTGGGATATTGTAGAGTGGATTAAGGAGTCTGATATTCCGTTGAAGCATCTTGAAGGGCCGGAAGATAAGGTTTTTGGAGAGTGGCTTAGAGATGGTCATCGCGCTAAAAATAGGTACAATGCTAAATGGTCTATGTACAACTTTCCCGAGCCTCCCACAAGGTGCACTCACGAGCTATGGCCGGACACTATTGCAGTTCACCTTTTGAAGACTCAAGAGAAGTGGATTCGGACATTGAATTATTTCAATGTTACAAAGAACCTGAAACCATCTAAATTGTACCATATACCTTAGTCGATATGAATTATGACAATTTTTTGTTTATTCTTTCCGGTGGAGAATTCATATGGATTATATCCATATACACAGACTAATTTTTATTATTGTCGTTTCTTGGAAAATAATTTTCATGTATTTGAATTCAGGAAGTCAAAAACAACTATTGGTTATTCTCTGGAACTAAGGAAATTACTACTCTTATCTTAGAGTCAATAATGTGTTTATTTGTCATTCCATCAGCCTAGGGGAGTCACTCTCTGTCAGTTGGTCTTTTGTTCAATAATGTGGACATATTTGCTTTGATAATCTAGAGGGAAAGCTTATGGAGATCTAAAAACTTATGGTGGCTGCTTATCCTTCAAAAAGGACAGGGTAACCTCAAGCCTTGACATATAGATTAGGCAGAGTCTTGACATTGTCAAATATTATAGTGACATTAGAATTTCTCGTGGAAATAACATGAACAAGTTTACCTTGATTGATAACAAAATAGATACATCTTAATCCTTCTCTAGTCAACGTAAATCCATCCTATAATAAGTACTAAGATTTACTTGACTTTCCTGTTTATAACTTTTTTTAAATCGTCTCTTGTAATATTAAACACGAAAAGTGCACTATTTCCTTTAGTATTATCCTTTTTAAAATAATCAAAAACTATCTCGAGATGGTATGACTGTCAGCTAGATCCTACCGATTTACTCGTAGATGATTATCATAATTTTATGGGTTGAAAAACAAACAGAACATTGCAGTGAAGGGGATACATATACACATGCAGGTATCCACATAACCCAAGTGGACAAGTCCCATGGGTTGAATTGAACCCTCCCCTCCCATGGGAGAACAAGTCCCGGTGGTTATTCACTCTAAGTGTTGAATTACTGGTGCAGTACTCTGGTGAAGGACCATTAGAATTTAGAAAGGATGGAAGTGACTTTAAGACAGATTAGGCCTCCTCGGCCGAAATACACAAGGAACGATGGGTTAAATATATCCGTTTACATTGATTTATTTTTGCATTTTCCTACAAATTGGCAGTAGCTTGAGGTACATATGATTCAGCACTTGTCCACTGACCCACAAGAAGAAGGCTGCCATGGATAATCCCAACAAGTAAACTTGTTTAAAATTGGATTCTGAAATTGTCTCTCTCAACAAGAAGACTCCCCATATATCCAAATTTGAGGATTCTGCACTTGAGATTTTGTTCCCCTCTCGCCCAAGGCAGGCCTATAGAGATAAGAAGATTCGTGCGAACTTTCCATTTCTCCAAACGATATGGACATCTAAATCACGTTCCAGTCTAGTTGCTAACAAGTAAAGAACACTTACGTCGTAACATTACCCAAAACCCTAAAACCCGAGGATCGGAGGATACAACAATTCTAGCAAACCTTGTATGCTTCCCAACTCGGGGGCTACTACAACTATTGTCCTGTTTGGCAACTTCAAAGTCTCGTACGACTGTAGAACAAGAAATTTCCAAACAAACCACAGTTTGCCTGTGCTACAGCAAAACCTTAAGCCAGCACTTGAGGGTTTTTAATGAATAAAGCAGTCCTACACCATGCTCAGCAGAAATCGCCCATCAAGAAGTAATGGCCCTATGCATGAAGAGACCCAACATTATCTGGCAGTACCCTGCAACCTCATGCCAGATTTCCTTCCGAGATACACCACAAATAATGATCCAAAAACCTTGATACAAGTATGGATCATGACACAAAACGTTCAAGAGAATCCATCACAATCATCACACGACACAGGATTTGCATATAAATGCCACATTCACAGGTGGCGAACTGGAGATCATCTCATTGTTTCTTAATGAAAAACATATCTACTAATCATCTCATTTAACTCAGGGAAGTTTCAAGGGCCACAAGACCTTGATGATGCCTTGTTGCTTAGGTTTGCAGAGTCAAATCATTTAATTAGGTAAGTGAAGGCATCTTATCAAGAAAAAGATCTTGACTAAACAATGGTTGCCACCCAAGAACTTCCACGTAGCTGGAAAAATCACCCTAGTTATATTATAAAAAAGAAACCAAACTGCATCCTCAAGAAACCCCATCCCTTAAAAGCTCAAGCCAAACCACCATCAATCACTAATGTTTCCAACAACCAGGGGATATTGGGAAGTATACAAAACTGAAATTAAAGTTGTAAAGATCAAAAGTCAGGTGGTCGCATCAACTTAGTATGTTTGCTGAACAATTAAAAATCAACCAAACCGACAGAATCACCTGGTAGACTTGTCTAAGCAAAAGAAGACAACATTATGCATAATTTGATAGTGTATCTCAATAACATAAAAAGTTAAGAAGAAGCATCAGTTTTTTAAGGACATGCTGGTGGGAGGAAATAAGTTGAATTTTATGCATAATAAGACTCTAAGCAATTAGCAACAAACATGCTTCACTGCCTAAAACCACGAGTTTAACAAAGAAAACCATCCCCAAATATAAACGCAACAAAACTGCTTAATGGATAAAAATCTAGAACACGTTTGCATCATAGTTATCCATTCAGTAAACTACATTGTAAAAGAAAATCATAA